GAATAGATACAAATACTAAGCTTACCATGGAGTTAGAAAAGGAAAATAAAGCACCTTTTTTGGATGTATTAGTGAGTAAAGAAGGTAATAAGATAGGTAGAGATGCATATAGGAGGGCCACACGCAGGTTACCTTATTAATTTCTTCTCCAACCATACATATAGAAGGTATGAAGACTAAGATGGTGTGGCCTTTTGTATGGTCGCGGTCTCCTTTCTCTATATAGAAGTTGTTTGACCTAGTTTTCTCAACTTGGTCATATTGGCAGGAAGACCTAGAGGAAATCACATTAACCGGAGTCCATAGTATGCATGCTCATTTCCAGAGTCGGACCAAGTCCACGGTCCGACTTTGAAAATTAGCATCTTAGTGAATTATGCCGTATGGCCATTGTTCCAAAAAAGACTACTCTAAGCTTTAACATAAATTGGATCGAGTAAATAATGCCTATGGACAACAAGGTTTCAGAAAATATAATAAGATTATACCAACTAGATCTTTGGCACTGCGCTTTATAAACAAAGAATTAATCAGTAATTAAATAGAAGATAGGAGAAAATAACATTTAGTAACCGAATTATTCGAGATTCAATCAGACACTTCTCACCATTGGGCTAGCGCTAGCTAGTCGATGACAACGGAGCAGCAGCTCCTGCTTAAAGCTCTTAGGGAAAAGGATGTCGGAAACAAGACCGCGTTGGAGAGCCTCGCGAGCTGACAACTTTCTACCAGCCAGGAGAAGATCGTTAGCCTAAAAAGTAGACATAAATAATCAATGCTTATCCAGGAGTAAACCCAAACATCGTTTTTGGTATTTTATGTTTTATGAGTAAAAACGGATAAAAATCGACCGATGCAAAAACTTCTTAAGTAAAAAGTAGATATGAAGACCAAGAGGATGTGTTTAACTGTTTGGCCACAGTCTCATTTAGTTTTATAGTGTCGGTTCGACCTTATTCTCGTAACTTGGTCGGAGCTCTAGGGAGACCCTGTGGAACGTACCTAGTCCCATGTCCTCTGCTATAGTATTCGTGATGTCCAGCATTGACCCATTGGATGGTAACATTCCCAATGTATTCATGGGCAAGTTGGAGAATTTAAAAATGTCACCCCAGCAGCCAACATTAATTAAGCGATATTTGGAGGACTACTTAGCAACTTGGTCGCATTCAGGAGTAAAATTAGACGATTTCCTAATCCTCATAAACGAAATGGATGAAAAATCGAATTTACCATGGATATGGAAGAGAATGGATACTTACCGTTGTTGGATGTGGAGGTCATTCGCTTCAAAGAAACTCTCAAAAAAAATTTTTTCGAAAGAAATCGCATGCTGGAATAACTCTTAC